CAGCCTGCTTTTAGGGAACCTCATATAATCAAAAGAGCTTATGTGCTACAGTAACGGGCACAGTGAGAGCACAGAGGTACATCTACATTGTATAATGTAGACATACCGGAGCTACCTTTGAACCAGTTAGATAGGCTTAGGGCCTAATTGCAGCAAAATCAGCACAGCAAAACCTACCCCAAAAACTGGGTAAGTACTCAACCAGGCTGTGCTGAGCTCCATGCTGTAGTAAATTGAGAGCCGTGCCTCACACCAGCTGCAGTCACAACAGGAACCGCAGTGGAGGCCCTCCGATGATTATACTGTATCTCATGCTACTTAGTCTAAGCTAGGTCTTCAACGCCAGCACAGTTCCTGCAGTTCAAAAATGACCATGGCAAGACTAGACAGGTAGTTAGCCATGTTAGTCTGAAGCCAGTCAGAAGGCAGGGAAGATGCACACCTATACAGACCAACTTTAAGATGTATATCGTTCTTATATATAAATAGTGTGTGCTATATGTAAGTAGGGAGGGAAGGAGGCAGGACGCATGCATGCACACGACATATATAGCTATATCTTGTGCTATGTAGCACAAGCTTTTGTGAACCCAAGTTCACTTCATCAGCTGCTGTCTACCTGCCTTCTGATGCAAGAGTAGCTGGCTAAAAGTTTCAGGAGCACAATAGCTCAGCCTGTATGTTTGAGCTTGGCTTTTTGCAATGGTCATGAAACACAGCAATGAAAACAGTTTAAAAGGAACATAGTATCTGAAGAATAAACTGTTGCCCAGCACACACTCGGGCCTGCTTAGGAAACCGCAAAAAAAGGGCTTGGACAAGAAATCCAGCGCTCAGTGCTTAGTAGATCCAAGCGAACCCCTGAGGACTGCAAACCTCACCTTTGGTTCTCATGAGAACAGGTTCTCCAGGGACATGTCCAGTGTTTTGGTGCTCTCCACCAAAGACAGACTAAGCCTCTGACTTTATTGTGAACTCGGGGGATTTCAAGCCCAGAAAGGTCACACAGGAAGAATGCAATTTAACAGAGCTGGCTGTGAAGTCCTAGCCCTCCAAGTCTTGGCCCCGCTGTTATCTGCCCCACACACTCAGCTTCACTCAAGATATTTTCTTTTAAGCCCCAGGGCCTTTGATCCTCTCCCCTCCTCCTCATATCTCTGTTCCCATCCGCCGGGATGTGCTATCAGGAAAGCCCACTCCTACAGAGAGCTACTCCCTTAGCCAGGCAGCTGTCTACCCAGATGGCTTTTCTCTGTGGCCAGCAAGTCTAACTCTGCCCATGAGCGGACAGTGGTGTGTACATGCTAGCCAGGTCCCTGTGCTGCATTAGAGAGGAGAGAACTTCCTGGGCAGTGGAATAACTCAATGTCCAGAAGTAGGAGCTGGAAATGCCCAGGCAAGTTTGGAAAAAGAGAGCCCTGGTTTCTCATCCTCCCAATAGACCAGGGCAGCTGAGCCAGGAAGGGCATGTCATTAGGGTTCTTCAGAGGTCGGAGATCAAACTAGGTGGGAATTAACACAAAGCATGATGGACACCCCCTCTCAGCGCCTCTGCCTGCAAAACTCTACGAGGGACGCATCATTCAGGAAGTCTCACTTGATGATAGTCACAAAGCCATCTAGCCTCAGACTCCTGATCTTGGTGCACAAGATGACGATTGATCAGCTCTCAGGTGATGTTATTGCCACGATGGCCCAGGGGATAGGTGAGAGGCAAGATTTCTTGCGGGTGATATCTTTTGTTGGACCAACTGCATTGAAGAATTTTCTCACGAGGAGGGTAGTAAAACACTGGAGCAGGTCACCCAGAGAGGTGGTGGAAGCCCCATCCTTGGAGGCTTTCAAAACCCGGCTAGACAAAGCCCTGGCTGGGGTGATGTAATTGAGGCTGGTCCTGCTTTGAGCAGGGAGTTGGACTAGATGCAACCTCCTGAGGTCCCTTCCACCCTCATTTCTATGTTCAATGTAGGTATACACATAGGCAAGCTTTCGCTCATCAAAGTACCCTTCCTCAGGCTTTCTTCCATGAACCTACAGGCCTGAAGAAGGGCCACATGATACCCAAAAGCTTACCACGCGGTTGGTCCAGTACAATACATCTCCCAGGAGAATTCTTGCCTTCTCTACTATGAAATCCATGGTGTAATGGCAATTGAAAATGCACAAAACCTGAATAATTAAAAAAAAAGCAAAACTGGCACAATCTGAGTGAACACCTGTCATGTCCCAGCTGGCAGACTGGACCGGCTCAGAAGCTGGAGAGCACCTTGGAGCCTGGACCGGGACCGGGCATCTCAGGAAGGCCTGGTGCACAGCTGGGGCTCTCACCTGATATGTACACGTCGTTCTTCAGGGCGCAGGCAGCAAACTCCGACTTGGTATATCCGGGCAGACTGGACAGCGCCGTCCACTGCCTGCTCTTGGGGTGGTACATGTCGGTGAAAGGGAGCTTCAGGAGGCCTTTCTTGTCGCAGCCCCCAATAACGACGATGACCTCTGCCAATTCCATGAACCTAGAACGAGACACGCGTGGAAAAATCTTGAAGCAACGGTCCCATCTTTCTGGCACGCAGCTGAGTCACAAGCTTTCTCTCCTCGGTCCTATTGTCTTGCAGAAAGCACCATGACAGCTATTATTGTGCAGACCCTCTCGGATGGACAGCATGGTCCTGTGGCCAGAACCACTGGTTTGGGAGCCAGGTTGACTGGATTTTATTCTTCGATCTGCCACTGACTGGCTGTGGGACACTGGGCATGTCACTCCCCCTACGTGCCTTTTTTTCCCCGTACCCCTCGTCTACCTTGCAGATGAGGAAGAGCGTTATCTCGGCCGCCGACCCAGATATCTCGTTATCTCAGTGGCTGTTCAAAAAAAGACCACTGCAATCACACTGTCTGCAGCAACAGCAATAAACTAAACTCTGGAAGAAGAAAAATTCTGCCTTAATGGGGAGACAACCTTGGGGTTGTCTTCGGATTTGAGAGATGGGTGTTGGGTTCTTGGCTCTACCACAGATGCTCTTGTGGCCTTGGGCAAGTCTCTCCAGGCTGGGGCCTCAAAAGGACTGGGGCAGAATTTAGATACCCATTAAATCCGAGTCCTATCCTAATCTTGTAAGCGCCTGAAATGCATAGACACCTCAGCTAGGGACAGACATTACACATAAACCGGTTTAAGTGATCAGAAACTAATTTAAACCTGTAACAGAACAGAAGCTCAGTGCACATAAATCAGTTTCAAAATGGCTGAAACCAGTTTAAGATAAACCTGGTTGAACATAGTATCAGACTTAACTGATTTGGGTTGAACCAGTTTATGAGACTTCTGTCCCAGACCCTATAGCTTCAGCAACAAAGTTCCCTGCGGACACACATTTCTACATGGATATATCCAGCCTCACCTCAATGGTATAGGAGGAACAGACCCTTTGTGGATGCTCCCCTGGCTTAAAACCACAGCTGAGCAGAGACAGGAGCAGAGGTTTGCTTGACACCACATTCACCTGAACCCAAGATGACCCTGAATTTAAGACGACCCCCCCCAGTAATTAGAGTCTATATATGGAAAATTTGTAAATTCATTGCAGGCAGCCCCCTGCCCTTGTCTCCCCCAAAACACTTCTACCCCCTGCAGCTTGCCTAGCCCTTCCCCTCCCACAGTTCCTGCAACCCCTGGTGCCCCCACAGCCTCTGCTCCCTTCCTCCCCATTCCCTTGCTGTCAGACACAGCCCCAGCTCCATTCCCTCCTGGGTCATGGAGCATATGGAAATGTAGCCTTTGCCCAGCCATGCAGCAGGATCACAGACCTGGAGCTGCTGGAACTGCTGCATCTGCTGCTTAGCTGGGCAGGAAACACAGCTTCCACGTGCTCCGTACCCTGCAAAAGGATGGAGCCAGGGCAGTGCTTGACTGTAAGGGGGAAGGGGGAGGATAGAGGCTGTGGGTAGGCAGGTGGCTGCTGTAGCTCTAACTCTGGCTCTGACCCAAGCTCAGGGCTGAGGTAAAGCCATAGCAGCCGTCACCTTGCACTTGAAGCCATAGCACATCCACATTGTACTTGAATCCAAGACAAGGAGCTTCCCCCCTGCATGCTGAATGGGGAAGACCCTTATCTTGGATTCAAGTAAATATGGTATCATCAGCATCACCCACAGGATCTAGTCATGGGTGGGTTGCTTCACTGTGCTAGGCACTGTACTGACCCATCATAAGGGAGAGCCCCTTATTTTCAATGGACAACCCAAAGGGGAAAAACAGAGGCACAGAGAGTAGAGACTTGACCAAGGTCACGCAGGGGGTCTGTGGCAGAGTGCAGACCAGAATCCTGGTCCCAGACCTCCGTGCTCTCCACACCGGAGACTGCTACAGGATGTGAAAAGTGGCCTCTCTTCCCTGGTCTTCCTCACAAGTTTGTTTTAGAGAGATCCCTGGCTCTGTGCACTTATTCAGAGGTCAGTGTCCTTCACAGTACTGCTCACCAACAAAGGACTTCAGAAACATCCACCCACACAGCAGCCCCAGGAGCTCAGACCAGATGATCCTAAGAGTCCCCACCCCCGCCTTAAGATCCTCGGGTTCGTGACTCATACATGCAGCAGGATCTCCTGTGTGTTACCTCCTCGGCCTGGATCGCAGGGAGCCAACCTCGTTCCCAAGGATGTAGTACTTGCGCGCCTCGTGCAGCAAAGGGATACACTCTCTGGAGTCCTGGATGAGTTCATCCATTTCGACCTTCTCCAGGAAGTACGTGGGGTCCAGCAGAGGGAGGCGCACATGCTCCAGCAGGTCCTTCAGGGCCACCTTCCTGGCAGCTGCATCATGGCGTACCCATCTCATGGCCGCCTCAAAGACCACCTCCTCCCTCGGGACCACCAGCTGCTCGTCAGACAGGTACCCAGCCAGCTCCTTTGCACTCAGCCCCAGGAACTCTTCGTGGGACGACACCTCCACGAAACACTCCAGCAGGAACCTCTTGCTCTTTTCCGCCAGGGATGCAATGGCAAATGAGTCAGCAAACTTCATCATGCCTAAGCAGTTGCAGGGGTGAAGCTGGCTTTCGAGGAAGCGGATGCAAGCATCCCGGAGCTGAGAGATCTGAAGCAAGTCAGAGAGCTCCAAGATGCCTTCAACATTGTCTTCCTGGAGGATGATGTTTCCCCCGTACATGTAATCAAGGAGGAGGCTCATGCTGGAGGCAGAGATCTTCTGGATGGTAACAACGTCTTGGTGGCCTTCCTTGAGACGGCCCCCAAACATGGCTCGGAAATAGGTGCTGTTGGCCGACAAGGTGGCGCGGTGGCAAGGGAACTCCTGCCCATCAATTGCGAGCACCACATCCGTGAAGATGCCACTCCGCCGAAAGGAGTTCAGCGTCTGGAGGATCTGCTCGGCATGGCAGGAGCCACTACAAAGCTTCACATGCAGCTGCTCTTGGCTTGGGTCCCGAGTTGCATTCTCAAGGCTGCCCGTTCCATAACTGGGTTCTTCCTTTATTGGCCGATGCATCCTGGTTTGGGGGAAGAGGGAGGAAAAGCAAAACACCTGTTAAATTAGCCATAAGAACATAAGAAGTGTCATACTGGGTTAAACCATCTAGCCCAGTAATGTTTCTACAACACTGGCAGAGACAGGTGCTATACAGAGGGAACACTGAACCGGGTATCCCTAGGGTGATTTATCCCCTAATCAATGTACACACCATGGGTTTTAATCCTCATTAAATTGAATAGGTTTATAAAATTTAAACTTGCTTATTTTGGAGCATTTCATCTGTGCTTACACACACTAGGTTGTCAAATGAATTAAGCCTTGGAGCATCGCATTTGTGTTTATACACACTAGGTTTTCAAACTGAATCCAGGTCCCTGGCCAGCACTGCAGGAGACTGGGATGATCCAGCACTGTCCCTCCTGCCCAGGGCCCACCACCCACCCCATGCCTGTGCCCTGCCATGCAGCTGTGGAAACAGGCAGCTGGAAAACAAGGAGAGAAAAAAAGCCACACAAGAAAAAAAAGTGGAAAGCAATTTGAAGGGGTGAATTATAAAAAAGTCGTAGCACCATCTGGTGGACAAAGAGACTCATTACACATCTTTGAGTGCCTTTGTGTTTGCATGCAACAAATCCATGGACATGACACTTTAATTCCCGGTGAGCTAAACTAAACTACGTCCAAGGAGTTTTAGTTTAATGTACAAGAAAAACTTTTAAAGTGTCAGGAAATCCCGTTTGTGCAAATAGACATGCAGCTTCAGTGCATGAAAGGGCAAAAATCGTGGTGTGTACATGAGCCCAATTGCCAAATATGCTCTTTGCCATCCACCATTACAGGCTTAGAGACACCAGAGGAAACTTCTCCAACCGTTCTGTTCAATACCTATTAATAAATCTGTATTACTGGTTAATAATAATAGCTGCCATGTTACTGGTTAATTACATCCTCTCACAAATGCTAATCAAAATTGCTCAAAAAAAAGAGCATTTTGTTGCGCATCCCCTGCATAAAGCAACATATCTGCAGGCACCTTGGACTTCACCATTGTAACCATGGTCAGGAAGAACTTAACAGCACCAGGTGGAGTAAAGGCCCTGATACAGCCGAGTGCTGAAATACAGGCTTAGGTGCAAGTCCATGCTTAAGTGTCATTGAAGCCATCAGGACATGCTGTAGTGGTTGAATGAGCAAAGGACAACTATCCCCTGCTCCTGAACTGCAGACCTCCACCACTTGATCTGAAAAGGAACCTCTTAATTATCACAGTAGACACTTATGACACAGTGCTTATCTCCAAGAAAGGACAGGGACATGCAAACAAAGACAATTACCATCCCCTTTCACTGTTTCTTGATGTACAAAATAAGAAAAGGCTTTCAGGTCAAACGTGCTAGGGAATAAAGTTCACTGGAAAACAAAAGTACTGCACAAACAGCATGTCAAGCAAGGGAACATGTGCCAGGAAGCTAACCAAGGGTAATTTGGTAAACACCATTGATAAATATGAAGAGAACTAAAGGCAGGGGTGTGGAAGAGAGCTGTCCCCGTGGTGTTTGTCCCAAAAGGACTGAAGGTACACGAGCCTGCGGGTCCTGTAGAGATCCATCAGGGCATGCCCTGGGGGCATTATCCAGCAAAGAGAAATTATGGGGGATGCAGCTTAGAGGAGCATCCCCTCTCCCCACCCCAAAAAAATCATTCCCAGTAAATGCCAAGAGCAGACACAAAATTTTCGTTCTGGAGTAATTTACCCTGGACTGTACTCTGCAGTAAAGAGCAGACACAACTGGCCTGCTCATGCTGGCTGTCCAAAGTAGGTGCTGTGACAGCCCCTTGCCACTATGGAGGGACCAGTGAGCTCCAGAGTGATGTTGACAATGGTTGCGGGCACAATACATACACCCAAATAACTTTCTTTGGTATAAATTTACTTTCAACTCCCTCCAGAGCAGGAGAACAGCATTTCTCATAGTCAGCGCTGTGCATCTTGTGTCCTCTCCATTTTTCTTCTGAAGTAAAAGCGAGAACCCTCCAGAGTTATTGCATCATGTGGCCACACCTTAAGACAGGGGTGGCCAACCTGTAGCATGCACATCACAAGTGGCACGGTAGGCCATTGTGTGTGGCACGTGACAGATCGGGGAAGGGGCAGAAAGCAGAGCAGCAGATTGGGCAGAGGAAGGGGATCAGAGTGGCACTTGGGGAGGGTGCAGAGATCATTTGACAGAAAAGTTGGTCCCCACTGCCCACAGGCCTCCACATCCGGACACACAGACCATATTCAATGCCGTTAAAGCTCCCTCTTGATGTTCAGCTTCTGTATCAATTCTTTCAGTCTTTGGCCCCTCAGAAGGCAATGAAGATGCCTGGTGATGGGTGTGACAGTGCTTGTTTCAATAATACCCACAGAGAAGTGGAGCACATGTGTACACACACACATATATACACATGCACCCCCCCACACACACACACACACCCCCACCAGACTTCTCTTTTGCTCATCACATGTCCACAGCCCATAGGTGTGTACGGGATCCCTGACCCCCCAGTCTGCTTTCCAAGCACTTTCCATTCCCCCCATTCCCTTCCTCCATAGGTCTTTTACTGATCTTTTCTCACACATAGGATTCCCCATGTGTGTAAAGTCCCGGGGGAGTACTACAGTGGACAAGGCACCAGCAGCACACAGCAGTAAGGACGGGTCATCCCACTGGGGTAAATCAGTGCAGATGCTCTGCAACAGCAGCTGTACCAGTCTACCCCAGTTGCAGGTCCCAATTCAAGGGGAGAAGAAAATGCCCAACCTACCACATGAGCAGCTTTGCAAACACCAAACAGAAGGAAGGAGACGACTTGAAATGCACCCTCCATCCCCTTAGCAGGGAATATCCTGACGTAGGTAACATCAGGGCTTGCTTTTCCCACCACTCATTAAGCCCTAGGCTGCTTCCTTCCTGCAAGGGCAAATGTAAAAGCTTCAGTGTGAGCAGAGTTAGTTGCCACTTCATTCTCTGGGTCCCCGTTGCTTCAACTCGCACTAGGCATTAACCAGTCTCTTTGCTCCCACTGACTATTTCGTAGGATTGTAGCAAAACAGGGCTGGCAGGGAGCCACACAGGTCAACCAGTCTGCATTTGCTAAAGCAAAGCCCCAGGTGCATAAAAGGAGATTCAGAACCTGCCTTTATGCTCAGACCATCTCAAACCAACCCGGCCCATACCTGCCCTTTGGCTGAAGTCTTCAGCCCCTCTGAACAGAGGGCTCTGCGGCACAGTATAGGGGTGGATCTGGGGGGATCTGCTCTCCAGGGTGTGAGCTGACTGCTCATGGCTAATTTAGATGCCCAGAGATGGCATTGGACATCCACGTGGGACAGCGTTCCACACCACATGCTCAAGGCCACGTCATGTGAGCCAAAAGCACCCGCCAGCTCACACCGGCACTGGGATTGGCTGCTAGAAGGAGAAACCATCAAATGCATCATATATGCTGATAAATATTCATTAATGAGATCTCATTGTTATATTATAGTATATAGTAGATGCCAAAGGGCTTTGTAAAGGAAGTTGGGACCTTTGCATCATGCAACAGGAGGGGCAACAGACACAAAGAGAGGCAGCAACACACCAAAGTCACCCAGCAAACCAGCGCCGGGGAAGAGAGCCCAGGTCCCCTGCACAGCGCGGCTGCCAAACCAATACTTTCCTCCTTGGCAGCTTGACATTTTGCTCTCAGGGGAACAATAAAGAGCTTAAGTGCTCTCAATAAGCTGTTCCAGTGCAGGCTTCAAATGAATTCAAATGAGCAGAGGAGCACTTAACGCAGAACAGCCTCAAAGCACGGCTGTCCAAGAAGCACGGTAGGTTCCTGAAGGCTTATCTATACCTTATCACTACTCGGTCCTGGGTCCAGGACAGGGCAGGGCTCACTGGGCAATACAGCATCCTGTTTCAAAAGGACATGGAAGAACTAAAGAAAGGTCAGAGAAGGGCGACAAGGATGATTTGTGGTACGGAGGGGCTTCTATATGAGGAGACGCTAAAGAGGTTCAGTTTAGAGAAGAGTTGCTTAAGAGTTTACAAAATACTAGCTAGCAAAGAGAAAGTCAATAGAGATTTAGTACTTGCTGTCTCTCGCCAGGCAACAATCAGGGGCCACAAAAGGAAACGAGTGGGCAGTCAGCTTAAAACTAGCAAAAGGAGGTTCTTTTCCCCACAGTGGACGCATCTACATGTTCATTAATGTGCCGTACTTACTGCGCGTTAAGTTTAGTACTTGGCTAACCAAGTACTAAATCGAGCATAGTAACTTGCACTACCGAGCTACTGTGCAGCAGGGCCGGCGCATGGGTTCGTTGGGACGCTCACTTCATTGGATCCTAATACTACTGCGGAGCAGTGTGTTAGCATGGATTTTGCCCGACACACTACTTTGCAGGCTTACTAGGCTACTGTGCAGTTCGAGTCTCATATAGACTCACTCCCTGTGTCATTCAAGGGGGGAACTCATGTCCAGGAGCGGTGGAAGCTGACAATTCAGCCAGATTTGCAAAAGGATTGGACACGTACTTGGAAGAAAAGGGCATCAGTTACTATTGAGAAGGAGAGTTAGGGACACAGCCTCTGAATCACAACTTCCTAGACCTTAAATGCTGGAGGCTGCAAGTGAGAGAGGAACAGTAGAAAAACCCCTGGTCATCCCCGGTTCGCTCTCCCTTTCAGCATCCGCTCTCTGCCCCCATGACACAGAAGACTGGGCAAAAAGGACCTATGGTCTGAGCCAGTAAATAGCAGGTCCTATGTTCTTACAGTATAGACGATGTCCTGTCTCAGACTCCACCGTCAAGGTGGAGTCTGTTTCTGCAAGCGACTGCTCTCAGTCGAGCCCACAACTTGCCGAGTGACACCCCAGGGCTTGTGTCCTGCAGGCCACACAGGGTGATCAGATTGGCCCATTTGCACAGAAATATTACAAATCAGTACGCATTTGAGGAAAAACAGGCTCACAAATTCTGGAGAGGGGGTTGTATCACTAAGCATTGAGTGAATGCTCATGCAAAACTCAAAGCCACGCAACTTATGGTAGACCTTCTTCCCTGCCAAAACATCAGAGTTGTTGCAGGTTCTACAAGTTGGATCTCATGAACTGGAAAACAAAAAAATCCATCACAATCTGGAACAGATTAAAAAAAAAAAAAGGCAACATGGGCAACAGGGGATCAAAAACATTTTTATAAAAGGTTCCCAAAAAGGGAAGTGGAAAAATGCCTGAAAAAAAGTCTTTAAAAAGCAGTTGAGAAAAATCCAAATGACTTTGCAAAAAGTCTGGCATTCAAATGGCCCCCCAAAAAGATGGGTTTGTGCATGTGAAAAAAGATCCCTCCTCTGCAAAAAAATATGTGACACGGCAGCAAAATCCCTTTGCTTTAGGTTCATTCCCAAGACCATTTGAAAGCCTTCTCAGGTTTTTCCTGATGAGCATCCACAAAACAAAATCTTGCATCTCTGGGCTTCTCGACCTGCAAAGCTGAACAGTTCAGTCCCCCGTTCACGTGCTGTCAGGGGACCGTGGCCACTGCAAGCAGCTGGGCTCCGCTTTCACTTATGACCCTGGAAATACCAGAGAGTGGCTGGTGGAGAATAAGGAGGCTTTAGCAGGTACAGTTTTGGACTGGGACCAAGCAAATGCAGGTCCAGCTCCCATCTCCGACACTGGCTATGCGTGTGACCTTAGGCAAATCACTTGAGCCTCAATTCATCCGTCACATGAGGATAACACAGCCCTGCCCTAGCGTTGTGAAGAAATGGGACTGGTGAGAGCCACAGGACTGAGGTCACTTGAGTTACAGGAGTGGAAGAGAAGTGTGGAGCATTTCTAATAAATAACCTTTCATCCACACAATGCCAGGAAGTGAAGTGACCTAGTTCGTGGTGAGCCACGTTAAACAAAGACTGTCCTCCCTCCGGCATCCTGCGGCATTGCAAACAGCGCAGGTGTGGGCTGCGCCCTGACCTGAACCTGGTCCCAAGCTGCAAGGCTGGCTGATGCACAGAGACCCCCCCCTTGCCTTGCGCCCAACTGTCCACCTCCCCTAAGCAACCTCAGGCGCTATTAGAGGGCAAGCGGCTCTTCTCTTGCCGCTGCCATCATTGACACACCTGGGCACCAGCATCACCTGCAAGGCAGAGGCCCTTACCTGGACCGCAAGTCGTGTCCTTCCACGTGGATCTAGCGATGCCGCAGCTCCGCTCCCCCTCCACGGGTTTTCCTTTGCTACAATGCTCTCCAAGGCTGCATGAAGCCGAGCCCCCTACAAAGCACAGACCGGCCCTTCTCCAGCAATGCTGGGGGAAGCACAAATGCATCCCTTTATCCAGAGTCAGGGAGAGGTGGGGGGAGACATCTGCTTTTGTTCCTGCCGCACGACTGTGCCTCGGGGCTGCGGGGCCTTAGCAGCAGCTGTCAATTATAGCCCACCAGGGAGGGGCAGACCCCAGAAGTGGGGGGACTGAGCCATGCGCGCTCAGAAAACATAATGCAGGGGCGGCTTAGCAGAGAGGAGCCATCTGGAGAGCAAATTGGGGTCCAGGTGGAGCGAGTCATTTGATGGAGTCGCCGGGTCTCTGCGAAGCAGATAAAGAAACAGGAGCCGAGGTGGCACTGGCAGGCATCAGAGCAGGAGCTGCACTGGTAAGGGGGGGAGTGCAGCTCCTGTCATTCGAGAGAGGCAATTAATATCTGTCAAGCAGAACAGGCCAGAAGGGGGAATTAGCCCTTGGTGCCTCTGAGGGCTTCCCCATGGGCCAGGGGAGATATCAAATGGCAGGGTCAGGGCTTTCTCCGAGGCCTCTGGACCCTGGCATGGGCCGCTGCAACGTGCCCCTTGTCTTAAAGACCCATCAGAGCATTGGTGCTATACGGCCTAGGCGCGCTCTGATGCACACGCAGGCTGCCTCGTTTTGGGGAATTGCCATGGGTGAGGGCGACCAGGATATTAGTGACATTTCTCATCTGCTTTGAGTCAGAGTTTTGTTTCCAGCCACGGCTCCCCAGCCCGCTTGGCAATGAGCTCCGCAGACCCCATGGGGGTAGGCTTCACTGGCCCAGTTGTTTGCAGACACGTTTTAGTCAGGCACATGGCCTTGATTCAATACTAGGTCGCATTTAATGGCCTTAAACATACAGAAGGTCAGGCTAGATGATCTAATGGGGCCTCCTGGCCTTGAACTATGAAACCAGGCACTTAATACCATCAAGGACAGTCGTTAGCTCATTGCAGTTCACCCTAGAGACTAGGCAAAGTGGCATCTAATGTGCCAGTTAACAAGCTCTTTAATATTAGGTTTTCCTAACAAGGAGAAGAAAAGCTCGTCTGCTGACCTCCAATAATGTTTCAGGCAGTTGAATTCAACATGTTAAAAAAAAACAACCAACCAATGCACAGAGTTAAGCTGCCTGGACGGAAACTTCTCCCTCTGATATTCCTGACACACATGCTTGGTGTTTACAAGGGCAATCCTACAAGTCTTCAGGCCTCCCCAGAGCCTTCTAGGGAAAAATGAGCTGACATTTTCAGCGAGGGGGAGGAAAATATGCCTTTCGGTTCTTTTTTCAATGCCTCAGGAAGAACTGAAGTCATGTATGCCATGACACCCCTTTTGCAGGCTGTCAGGAGTTGCATAATTGAGTGCTTGGATTGGAAATGACAGGGAAGAGATCATCTTTTTTATTGTGTACATACAGCCCCTGCACTGCAGGCTTTTGTTCTCAGACTGAATCCTTGCAATACAAATCATTGGGCGTGTTAAAGGAGGTCTCTGGCTCACTTTTAGGGCATATTGCTATTTCTTTGGTTGAGATCACTTTTGCACGCTGCAGCCGAGCACTCGGCACCGGGGGGTGGAATCCTCTTGATTCTGGTGAAGATTTTGAAAATATCAGAAAAAAGGGAGGGGATGGGGAAAGCCAAGTACCACCCGGGGGGGTCTGGCGTCTGATGAGCAGAGACAGCGGATGCCTCTGCTCCTGTTGTCTATAGGCCAAGAAACAGGTGAGCCACATGTCAGGATGGGATGGGATGAGAGCCACGAAAGATCCTCCCAGCATTAATGGATGCACTTGTCCATCTCCCACCCCCCAACTCTCCCCACCATGCCACGCTCAAGCCCTGAAGGACGTCTTAGGTAGGCTGGATCGCACAAACCGCCTTAGCTAGATGGCCGGTGAAACCCCAGCTTTTGAAAGATCCACTTTCAAGCTTTTCAGCCCCCCACAAAAATTCCTGTAGTAACCCACTACGATTAGGCCCTTCCGCCTGCCACCTCCTGCGCCGCGGGTAATACATCTCAGACAATACAGTAGCAGAGAAATACTGACATTTTATTTCATAGAGGATTGTGGGACTGATCTTGGTCTAGACCCCTTTTCACTGCAAACACATATGGGTTTCGGTAGTCAATTGGCAGCGTGACAGCAGTCATCACGGCAGAACCAGAAAGGTTTGGGTCTTTTAGCAAGAAGTGTGTGTTGCGAGTCAACATTGCTAGGTTTCTTCCAGCCCTTCCAGGCTGTTGAGCATCTGCTTTTTCAACAACGCCAACTCCGAGGTCAGGGTGTGGACGTGCAGGCGATCGCCCGCAGATAGCGAGATGTAAAAGAGTCTCTCAGTGGCTACCAAGCCCAGCCAGGAACATTTCAAAAAATCAACCCCACGGCTGCAGCTCTTCTCAGAAGGCTTCGGGCCAACAGCACAGATGTGTTTCCCCCCCCCCAGTCTGCAAAAAAACTATCTGATTTCATCAGCAGGAGAGAGCACCGAATAAAAGACAGCGCAGCAGGGGCAATGCACTGACTCTAGGTCACGCACTGATCCCCATCTACACTGGGAGAAACCCAGATTAAATTCCAATGGCTTTAAATCCAAAGTAAAACTATCACAGCAGCAAAACACCAACCAGAGCCCGGCCTTGCATTTTTGAAAGTTGTCTTAGGACACAGATTATAATAGGCTTCATTCTTAGGGTTACAAATAGCACATTTAATTTTCAAACCAAAAAAATATAAAAAAAAATCCAAGGATATTTTTCCATCCACCCCCTGGGTGTTAGTTTCTTAATTTTTTTCCCCCCTTCCACTTCATTCAGTTGTACCATCAGCTTTACCTTCTGGTCAGGTTTGTTTCCCGGGTCTTATGCTCCAAGTTGGGATTTGGGGTCTAAAGCTGTTTGGGAACCGCTATATTTTAAAAATCATTGCAAAAACCAGCTTCAAGAAAGATCTTGCTGGTCTCATGATGTGGTAAAGCCACTTCAAAGATCTCCATCCTATGATGCTACAGCACCTATGGCAGATGGCTCTGTTTAACAAGGGTGGTGCCAAGTAGGACAGTAGGAAGAAATACTACTTTGTCCTTTGAAGACATGACTCAGATCCCTCCCCAGGGGACAGATTTCATACCCAAATGGTCTTCACGGCAGTGTTTGCTGGACTTGCAAGGCAGCCAGGGATCACTGGCATTTCTTACCCTCCATGCTTCTTGCGTTATCCAAGACATAGGGAACAAACAAAGGGGTCGGCTGTCTACGCATCATTTGAGTGCCCAGCCAGGCGCATCACCGTGAACCAGGCCCTGCACATATCCTTTGGGTTCATATGCACCATGTCCTGGAAGTGAGGCAACATAGCTGCTGTAGAGCAGCCCGCAGTGTCATTTCTGGCTGTTGGCATGCACAGAAGCAAAGCAAGGGGCGAGCCCGTTTCCTGCCGGTGCCCTTAGGAGCTAATGTGCATGAAACCTGAAGTTACAAACGCTACCAAGAATTGGTGGAGTCTGTCCGGCTTCATCTGGCTTTGGGACCAGCCACAAGCAAGGGAGGCTACTACCAGACTCCTCCCAATGAGGCCAAGAGGGGGAAGAGCTGCCAACTATTTCTTGCAGCCCAAAAAACGGCAAAATGCAGACGCGCATTTGTTATCAAGGCCCGGTTGCGACATGTGGAAAAAGAAGGAACAGGAGGGAAGGGGTGGGGGAGAAATACTTACATTTGGACGAGAAAAATAAATGCATCTTCGATGCACACCACGCCTGGCCATTTTTTCCCTTTATTTTACCACAGGATTTTGGTTTTCCTGTGTGGGCATTTCGGTTGTTTCTGCAGTGGTCTCCTTTGGAGAAAATTAAACCTGTAAGCTGTAAACACTTATTGCAGAAGAAGGAGACCTTCCCCTTGGTTAAATAAGTGATTCCCTTGGACCAACCTCACATTTGCCCATTTATAAACCAGAATTCCTCACCCCCATACAGCAACTTGCCTCTGATGGAGAAAGGCAGGAGCGAGGCCCCTTACTACCTGGTGCCAGGAAAGGAGATTACGGGGCAATGCATAATATGTTTACACTGGCAGGCGTTGCATTGGCACCGGGTGGCACCTCCTTAAAATGGCCTGGCACCAGGCTCTTCATAGTAGGAGGAGGTTTCCTGCCAATTATGGGTTTAGGTCGGGGTAAGGACAGTGGCATTGGCTTGAAAGCCCATCAGCAGCTTAACCTCGAGCACTCCCTACTGCTCCAGGGAAGCAGGAAAGCAATTAAGCCATTGCCTTCCTCTGCCCCTGAAGTCTGCCTGGGGGCAGCACCGTCTCCTCTGACCGGCCTTCTATTAAATTCAGCTGAAAAAGGCATTACCCAGAAAAAGAAACGGACACTTCACAAGAACGTCACGACATACACTTTTAAACAAGGTCAGCTACACAATCGCCACATCGAGGGGAGCGGGAGGGGGGTTGTGGGACACTCCGCCTGTCTACCCCAACGTCCAGGCCGTCACTTCAAAATTTGTCACCAGCTTTGGCCACAATGCCGATATTTTTCGTGCGCATGTTATGTCCGCTTGTGCACTAAAAGAAATGCATACAATCTCCAAAAATACAAGAAAAAGGACAAAAAAAAAAATCGGACTTTCTACATATGTACACAAAGCCCTCCCCCCCGACCACGCAGTCCAAAGAGGCATGGGGAGCCAGTGACCAGAGAAGGGGAGGATGTCCACACATTCAGTAGTTCCAGAAGGGTCCCCCCATCCCATTGGGTTCGGAAGAGAGCCAACGCCACCCATTGCAACACGAACGGCAGGGTTTATTGTTGCGCCATTGGGTTTCCTTTCCAGTTCCTCAGTCCATGCGCAGCTTCATGTCCCGATGGTCCATGGGGGTGACAACCTCGTTGGAGTAGCCATTTTCAGAGCACAGCGACAGCTCGTCTGTATTCTCCCCTCTGTTGTTGATTTCTGGGGAAGACAGAGGAAAATGAAGGCCCGCGGCCGATTACCGGAGTCCCCTCCACCAATGCGCCACGCGGACATGCCGTGACCAATCTGCCAAGGCGTGCGAATCAAAAGCACGCCGGATCTCACAGAGGAAGTGCCTTAGGGCTTCAGAGGGTCTCTTATTTTTACAGGCAGAAGCACAGAGCAACCCGCCCGAAAACCAGCAAGTCAGCGGTAGAGCTTCCAACAGCACGTACTCTCTTAAAGCTAGCCCGTTGGTGGCTCTCTACGGACGGGCCACCGCCGAAATAAAACGACTCCCATTTTATACCAGGATAAACAAAATGAGACTGATACCCCTTTTTTTGTCTGCAAATCCCAAAGCCTAACACTGCCCGTTAGACAATCCTTCCACTGTGAACAGCTAAACTGGAGCCACCCACGCTGCAGTAGGCCCTTACAATAAGGAAGAGGTGAGTTTTGACTGCAATTTCCACTGGTTCGGATTTTAACCCAATGGACCTGCCTGGCTTTGTGCTGGAAACAGAGATACTCCCAGGACTTGCTGGTTTTGCTGAATGAAACAGCCCATTCTGTGATGCTTTTCATTGTCGGTGCTGGTCTTCATCATTTTTCCTCCTCCACAGGCACAAATCATGACAATATATTTTACCTCTACCTCTTAACATGTGCAACGTGAAGAGAACAGCTGGAACTTCAGCCCGACCTGACCAGCGTTTGTTTTCATGTCACTAAATTTGGAGGGGAGTCCGCGGGATTCATTTGCACCACTGAATGGGACAGCACAATTAGCCCTGTAATTTAGTCATCTCCCAGGAGCACAGACATTAGCACGCGTGTCCTTTGCACAAGGAGAGATTATCCACGCAATCTGGAAGAATGTAAATGCATCAGCTTTGATCTTTCCAAGCTAAAAGTCTTCCCTGTTTCCTTACCAAGCAGGCAGTGGTGTGGTAAGTACGCCCCCCTGCTAGAAGCCATGTGCATCAGCCAGAAAGGTTTTAGAGGAAGGGAAAACCAGCATGCCCTAAGCAGTTAGTAGCCCGCAGACCCATGATGCCTACAGTCCCCACAGAAGCCTTCACCCATACTGGTGCCAACCAGTGACCCGTGCTTTTCAGCTCTCTGCAGTTTTACCTTGTAACGACTAGAGTCTTTTTGAAAAAAGAAAAAAAAAAAAGGAAAAAAAAAAAAGCCAACAAGAAATTTTGTCAGTGAATCGGGCAGACTTCAGACGGTAGAACCTGCAAGACAGTGCAAAGAGCCTCACATGAAGCAAGGTTGAAAGAGGCAATTGGCTCAGCTTCTCAAACAAGTTAGCGATGGAAAGAGATCCATTAGGTCATGAATCCCGTGACTATCAGCATGGCGGAGAGCACCCGCCTTCAAGGTGGGGGCATCAGGCAGACCCTATAGGGCAAAAGGAAGGTGTGACAGTCGCCGGAGCCACCAGCTGTCCCAGGTAACGATGGCAGCCAAGATGCAGTGGCAGAGGCTTTCATGTATGCTAGGGACCACAGCACGCACTCTCCCAGGCCCCTACAAACATACTGTGGTTGCTAGCCAATGCAAAAGCATCTTCCCTGCTATTCTTACCTGCACTCGCTTGCAACCAGAGATGCCTTCACCTTGCTTGGCAGACATAGCCCTAGGAAGAGTCCAGTCCAGTCTACAGCTTCATGCTTACTTCTTTCTCTTCCCCATCTCCCCAGCTCTGCACCATCACAAGCTCTTACTGAACGTGGCTGCTCTGGCACCCTCCACTCTGTGATCTCACTATAAAACAACACCAGCTGGGCAGCTCTGGGGAGTAGTAAAGTTTCCAGTCGAATACCCTCCCTTCAAGTCTCTCCTCAATCCCACCCTTTGCTGCGCTGCCCACAAGAACGCTTGGCAAGAGTTTAGCTGCTGGTGTCCTGAAACCGCTGCCTGTCCTGCTGACCTCTGCCATCAAGTTGTCAACCTGAGTTCCCGCATGGGTCTTTCTCTGCCATTACAGCAGGGACAATCGCTTAGTTCTTCATGCATACAGCAGCCAGCTCGGGGGGGCCTAGTCCATGGCTAAAGCCACTAGAATACTAACAAAGGCAGGAAACCTCAGTTTGGTAGACGCTTGAAATCTCTTTCCTTTGCCCCGTGGGAAGTTTCATAGCTTCACAGACTGTAAGGCCGGAAGGGACCTTGGAAGATTATCAGATCCAGCCCCCTGCACCAAGCAGGAAAGATAACCGGGGGTCAGGGGAACCCCAGGGGTCAAGTTGGCCGAGCATTGCCCAAATAGATGCTATGCTGAATTGCATCTGATAAGGACCTGCACCCCGAGTTCCCTGCTGTTTCCAACACTGGGGCCTAATCCTGTGAGCCTGACAGCCACATTCATTGCTGTGGTCATGCATAAGGTAGAACTACAGGCTTGTTTTCTTCCTGGTGGCACGCTCCAGATCAGGCCAAAGGCCCCTGCCCGATGTGCAAGTAAAGGCACAACGGGATCTGATGCACAATTCACACAACTGCACTTCCTGCCATTTCACAAGCGTGTGGCAGGAGGCATGATGGTGGGATTGAGCATCAGATCCCATCATGCCTTATTGCCACTGCAGGGAAAGCCTGGCATCATGATCCTGGGTTCCCTTTGCACCAGCAAGTAGCAAGCTCCTGCAGCCGGGAGCCCCGTCAGCTGATCCAGGGCTCCCAGCTGTGGGGACAAATGGTGAGCCCCCGTGGCTGGGAGAGCCTGTTGCTTGCAGGCTCCATCATGTAAAGGGCCTCTCAGCCACTGGAGCATCTGGGGCCATGGGGGTGCACCGGACCACATGTTCAATTAATGACAGGAACCACCCACAGTTATTTCACATTTTTTGTGGAATAACTTTGTGGCTTAATTGCTTTACTGTATAGCTGGGTCAACTTCAGACATGATGAAGCAGTTAATCATGTCTTAAGTGTAACATGTGGCAGGTGCCTCGGAGATGACTTGGGTTGCTTGTGGTCTCCGGATCCCAGCGCGTCTGCAGTCAAAGGTCAGGACCGGTTTAGAAGAGTTGTCTGTTCTTCCCCTTCTCCCAGCTGTCCTCTTCAGCCAGGTTAGATGATGCACCACTGAGATCTCAGCTTAAATTGAAGCACTATTGCCATTATTATCCAGGACAACAGGTCCATGTGGTGCACAGTTTGGCACTAGAGGAGGCCCGAATCAAAAAGCTCCCCAGTCTAACTATGAGCAACAGAGAAGCAAAACTTGTCCACCTTGCCCTCGCTTTATTTCCTGACCTTCTGGGCTTTCTCTCTCCAATGAACGTACCAGAAAAGATCAGTTTCTCCTTCATGATTTTGACATCCCGGCTGGACCTGCGAACAGCAGCACTGAGCATGATTTGCTCGGGGTTATAGGTCCGTATGCTTCCTAGCCGCCACCTGCAACAGAAGAGAGAGATGTAAAGGACCATCCCCAAATGGAAAACACTTGCTAAGCCACCAGCCTCTGACAAACACACAGGCCACCTCACCCCATAGATACAATAAGGTTTGGTGCCACTAGAGGTAATTGGTTTCCATGCCTAATAAGGTGCCTAAATTTAGGTCACTGAGTTGGAACAAGTTGGCTCCTGCTCCTCTGATGGGAACAAAGTGATCAGATGCAAAAAAAAAAAAGAAAAAAAAAAGTTGACACCATTTCTGCAAGGCTACCATAGCCTTTTCTCTGTGTTGTATTTATACAGACATGTTACAGGAGTAAAGTGCCCAACAGTAACAAATATGCCCAAACAGATCAGAGAAACACCTCAAAGAGGCATCAGTTCCAGCTGCTTCAAAGACAGAAGCAAGAAAACCCAAAGTGTAGTTGCAAAGCCACTTGTCCCCGGGAAAACCTTCTTGTTAATCAGAGTTATGCCTTGTAACAATGAGGATCTGTGTCCCTTCCCGAGCCTGCAATCCTTTTTTGAAAAAAATCTGACTCCAGTAACTCAATGTCCTTGCGATTCATATGCAACATGGAAGAGGAGGTCTGAGATGTAGGGATGAATAAGACAGCAGGAACTGCTGCGATTCAGTCCCGTGAGTGATGAATGCTTGAAACAGAGGGAGGCTGCCAGATAAGGTGGAATAAATAAAACTTGTGAAATTAAACTTTTCAAACTTGCCTCTGAAGTTTCTGCCACGTTAGGTGACTGGCAGGAACCAGCCAGGGAACTGAAGCATGAATGATGAAGCATCTAGGTCTGTTTGCACTATTCAGAGTAAATGCAAATAGCACCTTGAAAAGTAGGTCAGATAAGGGGAGGGTGAGGAAATTGCTCAATAATTTAAAGCAGTGGTTCAAATTTGGGATGTGGAGGTGGAGGGGAAGGGGGCTCACAGGCCACTGTCACCCCTCAAAATCCCTTGCGAACACCATGCAGCCTTGTTAACAAGCGAGTGAAAACCATAGAAAGGCTCTGCAGCTCACCTACCATGGGCCGAAGGACCAGCAGGGATACGAGGAGCAGTTTGAGAACAATCCTAAGGGACCAATATTAACGCTGGCACAGATTTTTTTTTTCTTTTAGTTGTGTATGTTTTTCAGGCTGGGCCAGTCCCTTTAAAGGCTGGAATAATGAGATTTCAGAGCTACTGGACCTGTCATCCCTATCAAGCTTGAAGTGTTCAACTCGACCTACGTAGGGGCAGTTGATGGCACCATCCCAGCAGCAGGAGACCAGGTTTCTAGTGTCAGACCTCACATTGACCTTCATCCACCTTTCCATTCATGCTTCCCGTACTGTCCTTTGGCTTGTCTCCTGCAGTAAGTACATACAGCGCCTTGCAGAATGGGGCGTTGATCCAAGCTGAATCCTCTGCGAGGCTTGCAAGCTGTAACTTTTTCCTGCTATTTCTCATTCAAGCACCTGCTGGACTGGGAAGGGTGATGCTATTTGGAGCAAAACTTCCTTTTCCATTATACCCCCCTCTAGAACCAGCATTTACGTCCAAC